TAAGAGGGAAGCAGATAGCAATACAGGCCTTCCTCAAGAAGCAAGAAAAATCTCAAACAACTCAATCTTACATCTAAAGGAGCTAGGAAAAGAACAACAAACAAAGCCTAAAGCCAGCAGAAGAATGGAAATAATAAAGATTAGAGTAAAACTAAATGATATAGAAGCTAAAAAACCAGTAGAATAGATCAATGGAACCAGGAGCTGGTTCTTTGAAAAAATTAATAAAATTGATAAACCCTAGCCAGACTCATCAAAAAGTAAAGAGAAGGGACCAAAATAATAAAATCACAAAAGAGGAGAAATAATAACCAACACCAGAGAAATACAAACAATTATAAGAGAATTTTATGAAAAATTATATCCCAACAAATTAGACAATCTGGAAGAAATGGATAAATTCCTAGAAACACATAAACTACCAAAATTGAAACAGGAAGAAATAGAAAACCTGAACAGACCAATAACCAGCAAAGAAACTGAAGCAGTAATCAAAAATCTCCCAACAAACAAAAGTCCAGAGTCAGATGGCTTCACAGGGGAATTCTACCAAATATTTAAAGAAGAGTTAATACCTATTTTTCTCAAACTATTCCAAAAAAAGAAATGGAAGGAAAACTTCCAAACTCATCTTATGAGGCCAGCATTACTCTGATTCCAAAACCACGAAAAAAGAGAACTGCAGGTCAATATCCCTGATGAACATGAATGTCAAAATTCTCAACAAAACACTAGCAAACTGTATCCAACAGTACATTAAAAGAATTATTCACCACAATCAAGTGGGATTTATTCCTGGGCTGCAAGAGTGGTCAATATTCAGAAATCAAATCAACATGATACACCACATTAACAAAAGAAAGGCTAAGAACCATATGATCCTCTCAATAGATGCAGAAAAAGCATTTGACAAACTAAAACATCCTTTCATGATAAAAACCTTCAATAAAGTAGGTTTAGATGGAACATACCTCCATATAATAAAGGCCATATATGAAAAACCCACAGCTAATATAATCCTCAGTGGGGAAAAACTGAGACCTTTTCCTCTAAGGTCAGGAACAAGACAGGGACGCCTACTCTCACCACTGTTATTTAACATAGCATTGTCAGTCCTAACCTCAGCAATCAGACAACACAAAGAAATAAAATTCATCCAAATCGGCAAGGAAAAAGTCAAACTCATTGTTTGCAGATGACATGATACTGTATATAGAAAACCCAAGACTCCACCAAAAAATTGCTAGAATTGATACACAAATTCAGTAAAGTCACAGGATACAAAAACATACAGAAATCTGTTGCATTTCTATACACCAACAATGAAGCAGCAGAAAGAGAAATCAAGTAATCAATCCCATTTACAATTGCACCAAAAACCATAAGATAGCTAAGAACAAACCTAACCAAAGAGGTAAAAGATTTGTATTCTGAAAACTATACAACATAAAGAAAGAAAGTCAAGATGACACAAAGAAAGGGAAAAACATTCCATGCTCATGGACTGGAAGAAGAAATATTGTTAAAATGCCTATACTCCAGGGTACCTGGGTGGCTCAGTTGGTTGAGCACCTGACTTCGGCTCAAGTCATGATCTCAGGGTCCTGGGATCGAGCCCCATGTCAGGCTCCATACTCTGTGGGGAGTCTGCTTATCTCTCTCCCTCTCCCTCTGCCCCTCGCCCTGCTCATGCTCTCTCTGTCTCTGTCTCTCTCTAATAAATAAATAAAATCTTCAAATAAAATAAAATAAAATGTCTATACTTCCCAAAGCAATCTACATATTTAATGCAATCCCTATTAAAATACTACCAACGTTTTTCAGAGCTTGAAAAAATCCCAGATTTTGTAGGGAACCACAAAAGACCCTGAATAGCCAAAGCAATCTTAAGAAAGAAAAGCAACACTGGAGGCATCACAATTCCAGACTTCAAGTTATACTACAAAGCTGTAGTAATCAAGACAGTATGATACTGGCACAAAAACAGACACATAGATCAATGGAACAGAACAGAACACAGAAATGAACCTACAACTGTATGGTCAACTAGTCTTCAACAAAGCAGGAAAGAATATGCAATGGAAAAAAGACAGTCTCTTCAACAAATGTGTTGGGAAAACTGGACAGCCACATGCAGAAGAATGAAACTGGACCGCCGTCTTACACCATACACAAAAATAAGTTCAAAATGCATGAAAGACCTAAATGTGAGACAGAAAACCATCAAAATCCTAGAGGAGAACACAGGCAGCAACCTCTTTGACATTGGCTGTTAACAACTTCTTACTAGATAGGTCTTCTAAGGCAAGGGAAACAAAAGCAAAATAAACTATTGGGACCTCATCAAGATAAAAAGCTTTTGCACAGCAAAGGAAATCAACAAAACTAAAAGGCAACCTTCCGAATGGGAGACGACATTTGCAAATGACATATCTGATAAAGGGTTAGTATTCAAAATACATAAAGAACTTACCAAACTGAACACTCCAAAAACAAATAATCCAGTTTAAAAATGGGGAGAAGACATGAATAGACATTTTTCCAATGAAGATATACAGATGCTAACAGACACATGAAAAGATGCTCATCACTCAACATCAGGGAAATCCAAATCAGAACTACAACAAGATATATCCTCATACCAGTCAGAATGGCTAAAATTAACAACACAGGAAACAACAGGTGCTAGTGAGGATGTGAAGAAAGGGGAACCCTCTTACACTGTTGGTAGGAAAGCAAACTGGTACAGCCACTCTGGAGAACAGTATGGAGGTTCCTCAAGAAGTTAAAAATAGGGGCAGCTGCGTGGCTCAGTCGTTAAGCGTCTGCCTTCAACTCAGGTCATGATCCCAGAGTCCTGGGATCAAGCCCCACATCGGGCTCCCCGCTCAGCAGGAAGCCTGCTTCTCCTCTCCCACTCCTCCTGCTTGTGCTCCTGCTCTTGCTATCTCTCTCTCTTTCAAATAAATAAATAAAATCTAAAAAAAAAAAAAAAAAGTTAAAACTAGAACTACCCTACGACCCAGCAATTGCACTACTGGGTATTTACCCAAAGGATACAAAAATACAGACTCGAAGGGATACATGCACCCTGATGTTTATAGCAGCATTATCAATAGCCAAATTATGGAAAGAGTCAAATGTCCATCGACTGATGAATGGGTAAAGAAAATGTGGTGTATATATATATATATACAATGTGTATATATATATATATATATATATATATACATCAAAAAGAATGAAATCTTGCCATTTGCAACAACATGGATGGAGCAAGAGAGTTTTATGCAAAGTAAAATAAGTCAGAGAAAGACAAATACCATATGATTTCACCCATATGTGGAATTTAAAAATCAAAATGGATGAACATGGTGGGGGAAAGAGAGGTAAACCATAAGACTGTTGGGGCACCTGGGTGGCTCAGCCGGTTAAGCATCTGCCTTTGGCTCAGGTCATGGTCCCTGGGGCCTGGGATCAAGCCCCACATCGGGCTCCCTGCTCAGCAGGGAGTTTGCTTCTCCCTCTACCTCTCCCCCTGGCTTGTGCTCTCTCTCACTCACTTTCTCTGAAATACATAAATAAAATTTTAAAATAAACAAACAAACAAATAAATAAATAAAACAGACTCTTAACTATAGAGAACAAATTGAGCGTTGCTGGAGGGGAGTTGGACAGGGGGATGGGTTAAATGGGTGATAAGAATTAAGGAGGGCACTTGTGATGAGCACTGGGTGTTGTATGTAACTGAGGAATCACTAAATTCTATACCTGAAACTGCTATTACACTGTATGTTAATTAACTAGAATTTAAATAAAAACTTGAAAAAGAAAGAAAAAAAAAGAAGATTGTCTACTACATATTAAGTGAATAAATGCAAGCTTCAGAAGAACATATGCAGTGTAATCTCATTTTTAAAAAAGAAAAAATACACGTATAGTTCTTTTAGTGCCGGGCACACAATAGGAACTCAGTATATGTGAAACAGATCAATTCTATATGACCAGTAGACATGTGAAAGGAAATACAGCCTTAAAAAAAAAAAAATAGGGGTATATTATTGGGATATAATAGCACAGATCTTTTTTTTAGTTTTTTATTTAAATTCAGTTTAGTTAACATATAGTGTAGTATTAGTTTCAGGGGTAGAATTTAGTGATTCATCAGTTGCATATAACACCCTGTGCGCATTACATCAAGTGCCCTCCTTAATGCCCATCACCCAATTACCCCATGCTCCCCGCCAACCTCCACTCTAGCAACCCTCAGTTTGTTTCCTAGAGTTAAGAATCTCTTATGGTTTGTCTCCCTCTCTTTTTTTTTGTTTTGTTTTATAGATTTTATTTATTTATTTGACAGAGAGAGAGAGCACAGGAGGGGGAGCGACAGGCAGAGGGAGAGGGAGAAGCAGGCTCCCTGCTGAGCAAGGAGCCCAATTCGGCACTAGATCCCAGGACTCTGGGATCATGACCTGAACCAAAGGCAGACACTTAACCAACTGAGCTACCCAGGCACCCTCCCTCTCTGTTTTTATCTTATTTTATTTTTCCTTCCCTTCCCCTATGTTCATCTTTCTTAAATTCCACATATGAGTGAAATCATAATGGTATTTGTCTTTCTCCAACTTATTTCGCTTAGCACAATACCCTCTAGGTCCATCCATGTCATTGCAAATGGCAAGATTTATTCTTTTTGATGACTGAGTAATATTCCATTATCTATCTATCTATCTCTCTATCTCACATCATCTTTATCCATTCATGAGTCGATGGACATCTGGGATCTTTGCATATTTTGGCTATTGTGGACATTGCTAATAGCACAGATCTTTTATTTTTGTTTCTGTGCTATTTTAATTTTTAATAAGAAGTATTATTCCTATTTTTTCAAATATAAATTAAAAGTCTTCTTAAGACAAAGTAATTAAGAAAGTTCAATTCTTTATCAGTATTTCCAGAACAAAGAATTTACTATCAGTTCTTAAAGTTCTTTTACCTACATTCAAGGTTGCATTCCAGAGCACCAGATGCCTTTTGAGTTTTTTCTTGTTCTCTAAGTTGCCGGTTCAAAATTCTCAGTTGCCTAAAGGAAATAATAAAGAAACATGATTCCAAGAATCCCAAACTCATTTAACAGTGTACATCTAACAGCCTATTAAAAAAGACAACACCTTGTCTCTGGTAGCCATCAGTTTGTTCTCTATAATTAATAGTCTTTTTCTTGGCTTGTCTTTCTTTTTTCTCTTTGCTCATCTGTTTTGTTTCTTAAATTCCACATATGAATGAGATCATATGGTATTTGACCTATTTCGCTCAGGTGAGTAGGGGACTGGGGAAAAAAGGGGATGAGCATTAAAGAGTACATGTATCACGAAGAAAAAGATTAAAAAATTAAAGATAAAAAGGCAAGATAAAAGATGGTGCCAACTAGGATTGCAGAAGTCCATCTCATCCCCAAAACAAAAGATAAAAACCAAATAAATAAAACAACAAAGCTACATTGCTATTATTCATAGGGCCTGAGATAATTTTTAAAAGATTGCCTGGAACAGCATAAACCCTCCCTTCATAAGAAAAAAGATGACCTCTCTTATTTTTCCTTTCCTTTTTTGTTCTCTCAATGATTTCCTTGTCTTTTTTTTTCCATTTCTTTCACTTCCTATCACTTCTTGCTATTTTCTTCTTCCGTCTTCCTTCTCTATATTTTCATTACTGTACAAACAACCTACTTTTTTAAAAGATCTGTCATAACTATGAACTAGAATACCTACAGGGACTGACTGCTATCAGACATGCATCTGCTTGGTTTGTCACATATTGAAAAAATGGGAAATGCAAACCTATGCTTCTAATAATTTCTTTATTAGATGGAAAAGTTAATGGCCCTATTTTAAAAAAGTGAATGCTAATGAGCAGTAACTCTGCCCTACAATGAACTTCACAGTTTGTGGCCACTTTACAAACTGGAACATATAAAAGGAACCACAAAAATGTTTACTTCTAAGAAGTTAACGCTGAAAAACAGTTGTCTCTATTATCTTTCCAGAATTAATTACCTGAAAATATTCTGTATTATTTATTTTTGTTACTGAATCTAAAATGATAGTGCCTTGGGGCGCCTGGGTGGCTCAGTCGTTAAGCGTCTGCCTTCGGCTCAGGCCATGATCCCAGGGTCCTGGGATAGAGCCCCATGTCAGGCTCCCTGCTCCACGGGGAAGCCTGCTTCTCCCTCTCCTACTCCCCCTGCTTGTGTTCCCTCTCTCGCTGTGTTTCTCTCTGTCAAATAAATCAATAAAATTAAAAAAAATAATAATAAAAATAAAATGATAGTGCCTTACCCCATATCATTTACATGTTATTAATTCCAGATGGGTTAAGGAGGTAAACATAAAATGGACAAACAAGACCAACTATAAAAGTTTTAGGTGGAAATCTACGTAATCTTGAAGTGGGGAAGGCATTCCTAAGCAAGACTCAAAATCCAACAACCATCAAGGAAAAGAATGAAAGATTTAATATCAAAATTTAAAACTTGTTCTAGAATTAGCAGTCTGGAAGCAAATACATGCGACATATATGAGACAAAAAAAAAAAATCCATAACACTTAAAGAGCTCCTGCAAATCAGTAAGAAAGGCAAAAAAAAAAAAAAAAGGCAATTCACATAAAAAATAGAAATGACCTAGGGGCGCCTGGGTGGCTCAGTCAGTTGAGCGTCTGCCTTTGGCTTAGGTCATGATCCTGGAGTCCTGGGATCAAGCCCCGCATCTGGCTCCCCACTCCCCGCCCCACTCCGTAGAGAGCCTGCTTCTCTCTCTCCCTCGGCCCCTCCCCCTGCTCGCTGCTCTCTCTTGCTCTCTCTCAAATAAATAAAATCCTTAAAAAAAAGGCTGATAAGCATACAAAAAATACTTAGCATTACTAATATTAAGAAATACAAAGTTAAAACAGGAGATATTTTATGGCCACAAGATTCACAAAAATAAAAGGAAACAATTTTTGGTGAGGCAGATGAATTATTTCAATTGGTGGGAGTCTACTGATAAAACCATTCGAATGGCAATTTGACAGTACACAACAAAATGTAAAATGTTCATTATCTCTGACAAAATAATTCTAAGTTATCTAGCCTCAGTAATATAACTGAGCCTTGAACAACACAGGTTTGAACTGTGGGTCCACTTATACAGAGATATTTTATAAATATAGTACAATACTATAAATGTGTTTTTCTCTTCCTTACGATTTTCTTAATATTTTTTCTCTAGCTTACTTTATTGCAAGAATACGGTACAAAATACATATAACATACAAAATATATGTTAATCAATAAAAACATTCAATGTTATTGATAAGGATTCCAGTCAACAGTAGGTTATCAGTAGTTAAGTTTTGGGGGAGTCAAAAGTTATACACAGATTTTTGACTTCATAGGGCGTAAGGGCCCCTAACTCTTGCATTGCTCAAGAGTCAACAATAGTTGTACATGTGCAAAAGCATCTACAACCTTTAGATATATTCAAAGATGTTCACAATAGCGGTATTTAGTAGTAAGAAGTTAGCAACAACTTACAATGCTACATAAATTATGGTATATCCATAATAAGAAATACACAAGTACTTTTTTATTATTTTATGTTAATCATCATATATTACATCATTAGTTTTTGATGTAGTGTTCCATGATTCATTGTTTGCATATGACACCCAGTGCTCCATGCAATACGTGCCCTCCTTAATACCATCACCGGGCTAACCCATCCCCCCACCCCTCTCCCCTCTAGAACCCTCAGTTTGTTTCTCAGAGGGCATAGTCTCTCATGGTTCATCTCCCCCTCCGATTTCCCCCCTTCATTTTTCCCTTCCTACTATCTTTTTTTTTTAACATATAATGTATTATTTGCTTCAGAGGTACAGGTCTGTGATTCAACAGTCTTGCACAATTCACAGCGCTCACCATAGCACATACCCTCCCCAATGTCTCTCACCCAGCCACCCCATCCCTCTCACCCCCCACCACTCCAGCAACCCTCAGTTTATTTCCTGAGATTAAGAATTCCTCATATCAGTGAGGTCATATGATACATGTCTTTCTCTGATTGACTTATTTCGTTCAGCATAATACCCTCCAGTTCCATCCACGTCATTGCAAATGGCAAGATTTCATTCTTTTTGATGGCTGCATAATATTCCATTGTGTATATATACCATGTCTTCTTTTTTTTTTTTTTTAAAGATTTTATTTATTTATTTGACACACAGAGAGAGCGAGAGAGAGAGAGAGAAGGAAAGAGCACGAGCAGGGGGAGCGGCAGGCAGAGGGAGAAGCAGGCTTCCTGCATGAGGAGGGAGCCCGATGTGGGGCTCGATCCCAGGACCCTGGGACCATGGCCTGAGCTGAAGGCAGCGGTTTTAACCAACTGAGCCACCCAGGCGCCCCTATACCATGTCTTCTTTATCCATTCATCTGTCTATGGACATCTTGGCTCTTTCCACAGTTTGGCTATTGTGGACATTGCTGCTACAAACATCGGGGTGCATGCACCCCTTCGGATCCCTACATTTGTATCTTTGGGGTAAATACCCAGTAGTGCAATTGCTGGATCGTATGGTAGCTCTATTTTGAACTTTTTGAAGAACCTCCATACTGTTTTCCAGAGTGGCTGCACCAGCTTGCATTCCCACCAACAGTGTAGGAGGGTTCCCCTTTCTCCGCATCCCCGCCAACATGTGTCGTTTCCTGACATGTTAATTTTAGCCATTCTGACTGGTGTGAGGTGATATCTCATTGAGGTTTTGATTTGGATTTCCCTGATGCTGAGCGATGCTGAACACTTTTTCATGTGTCTGTTGGCCATTTGGATGTCTTCCTTGGGAAAACGTCTGTTCATGTCTTCTGCCCATTTCTTGATTGGATCATTTGTTCTTTGGATGTTGAGTTTAAGTTCTTTAAAGATTCTGGATACTAGCCATTTATTTGATAAGACATTTGCAAATATCTTCTCCCATTCTGTCAGTTGTCTTTTGGTTTTGTTGACTGTTTCTTTTGCTGTGCAAAAGCTTTTTATCTTGATGAGATCCCAACAGTTCATTTTTGCCATTGCTTCCCTTGCCTTTGGCAATGTTTCTTTTTTTTTTTTTTAAAGATTTTATTTATTTATTCATGAGAGAGAGAGAGAGAGAGGCAGAGGGAGAAGCAGGCTCCCAAGGAGCAGGGAGCCCGATGCGGGACTCGATCCCAGGACCCTGGGATCATGACCTGAGCCGAAGGCAGACACTTAACCATCTGAGCCACCCAGGCACCCTGGCAATGTTTCTAAGAAGTTGCCGCGGCTGAGGTCGAAGAGGTTGCTGTCTGTGTTCTCCTTTAGGATGTTGATGGACTCCTGTCTCACATTTAGGTCTTTCAACCATGTTGAGTCTATTGTGTGTGGTGTAAGAAAATGGTCCAGTTTCATTCTTCTGCATGTGGCTGTCCAATTTTCCCAACGGCATTTGTTGAAGAGACTGTCTTTTTTCCATTGGACATTCTTTCCTGCTTTGTCAAAGATTAGTTGACCATAGATTTGACGGTCCATTTCTGAGTTCTCTATTCTGTTCCATTGATCGATGTGTCTGTTTTTGTGCCAGTAGCATAATCTCTAGATGACAGCTTTGTAATAGAGCTTGAAGTCTGGAATTGTGATGCCGCCAGCTTTGCTTTTCTTTTTCAACATTCCTCTGGTTATTCGGGGTCTCTTCTGGTTCCATACAAATTTTAAGATGATTTGTTCCATTTCTTTGAAAAAAGTGGATGGTATTTTGATGGGGATTGCATTAAATATGTAGATTGCTCTAGGTAGCATTGACATCTTCACAGTATTTGTTCTTCCAATCCATGAGCATGGAATGTTTTTCCATTTCTTTGTGTCTTCCTCAATCTCTTTCATGAGTATTTTACAGTTTTCTGAGTATAGATTCTTTGCCTCTTTGGTTAGATTTATTCCTAGGTATCTTATGGTTTTGGGTGCAATTGTAAATGGAATCGACTCCTTAATTTCTCTTTCTTCTGTCTTGTTGTTGGTGAATAGGAATGCCACTGATT